GAGATGTGAGGCATTTTGTGTGTGCAATTCTTGGATTTGTGTGTAAAGTTTGAAAAAAAATAGAGGTAAAGTTTTGAAAATGTGTGTACGCAGTTGAAAAAAAAACCTGTAAGAAAAACTGTAATAACTAGATTGAAAAGTTTGAAAGACAAAGGTTAATAACAGAAAATCAAACATTGTTTTCAAAACTGATCCAGATCCAGTGCTTTGATATTATTGTATTTCTTTCTAATGTTAGGAAATTCAAAAGTTTTTGTTGGAAATGTTGTCATTTATTTTTCATTTTAAACAGTATAGATGATTACTTAGTTGTTTTCACAAATATTGTATTACCATTGTGTATGTCAGACCATAAATCCCCCAAAACTATGTATGGGGGCTTGCTTTGGTGTTGTCACCCCTTTGCCACCCTAAAAATTATTTTCTAGATCCGCCCCTGGTGGCACTGGCCCACTCAGATTGATAGCTGCTCCAACCAATCAAATGAGACAAAATAATTTATTTGTGGTAAAAGAGAAAATTTCACACATAAATGATAATAATATAAACGACCATAGTAATTGCTCAAATACATGAATTTAGTGGATGTCACTCCCAAAACTTTGCAGTGTGTACGTGGCCGCTGGTCAAATTCTGAATGGATGCCCAAAGAGTGGTTCCTTTATAGTCACTAAAATCTTTCACTCTTAATTCATTGAGATTATGCAGTCTCATGAAGTTCCATTACAAACAATGAAGCTGTCCACACTGCTCAGTGATTCTCTTATTTACAGTGCATTCAAAAAGTATTCAGACCCCCTTCACTGCAACATAATTTTTGTTATGTTGCACCCTGATACTACAATCGTTTGTAGTCATTAATCTACACTCAGTACCCCATAATGACAGAGTGAAAACTGAATTTTAGAAATGTCTGTACATTTATCAAAAAGAAAAAAACATATCACATTTACATAAGTATTCAGACCCTTTACTCAGTACTTAGTTGAAGCACCTTTGGCAGAAATTACAGCCTCAAGTCTTTTTGGGTATTTCGCAACAAGCTTTGCACACCTGAATTGGGGGCATTTTCTCAATCAGGTTGGATGGGGACCATAGGTGAACAGCCATTTTCTGGTCTCTCCAGAGATGTTTGATGGGGTTCAAGTCAGGGCTCTGGCTGGGCCACTCTAGGACATGCACAGAGTTGTCCCTAAGCCACTCCTGTGTTGTCTTGGCTGTGTGCTTAGGGTCGCATTGTCATGTTGGAAGGTGAACATTCGGCCCAGTCTGAGGTCCTGAGAGCTATAGAACAGGTTTTCATTCAGGATATCGCTGTACTTTGCTCCATTCAGCTTTCCTTCAACCCTGACCAGTCACTCAGTCCCTGCTGCTGAAAAACACCCCCAAAGCATGAAGCTGCCACCACCATGCTTCATCGTTGGGATGGTATTGGGCAGGTGATGAGCGGTGCTTGGTTTCCTCCAGACATAACGTTTAGAATTAAGGCCAAACGGTTCAATCTTAGTTTCATCAGACCAGAGAATCTTGTTCCTCACAGTCTGACAGTCCTTCAGGTGCTTTTTTGCAAACTCCAAGCGAAGGAGAGGCTTCTGTCTAGCCCAGGGGTGTCAAACTCAATTCCTGGAGCGCCGGAGCCCTGCAGAGTTTTGTTCCAACTCTGCTCCAACACTCATACCACGTAGTTTTCAAATAAGCCCGAAGGACTTGATTAGTTGGTTCAGGTGTGTTTAATTAGGGTTGAATCTAAACTCTGCAGGCTCCGGCCCTTCAGGAATTGAGTTTGACACCCCTGGTCTAGCCACTCTACCATGAAGCCCAGATCGGGGGAGGGCTGCAGTTTTCCTTCTGAAACTTTGTCCCATCTCCACACAGGATCTCTGGAGCTCAGTCAGAGTGACCATCGGGTTCTTGGTCACCTCACTTACTAAGGCTCAACTCCCCTGGTTGCTCAGTCTGGCCGGGCGACCAGCTCTTGTAAGAGTCCTGGTTGTGCCAAACTTTTTCCATTTGAGAATTATGGAGGCCCCTGTGCTCTTGGGCAGTGTTAATTTTGACAGCAAATTTTGATTTAGTCTTAGTCATAGTCTTTTGACTAAATGCCATTTAGTTTTAGTCATATTTTTGTTATCTGAATTGTTTTTAGTTTTAGTCTAATTTTAGTCTACTAAATATCATAAGATGTTAGTTGACTAAATCTACAGTAGATTTAGTCGGCTAAAATCTAATGGGTTTTGTTAGCATAATGCATTTATTAAGCATTTCTCTAAAATAAAATCTTGTAGGGTATCGGAGCGAATCAGACACTTTAAGATTTGATCAGATTGGTGTTGAACAACCCAAAGAGCCAAATTCCACAAAGGGGCCCAGGATGAGACAACAGGACGTTCGTAAATCAGACCCTGGCGCCACGAGTATGAAGCAAGCCTAACCAACCAACTCTTTCACAGAACAGCTTTCAACATTTAACAAAATAACACTTATTGACAATTCCAACTCAGGAAGGAGATTGTCAATTTTGGGGCAAGTAAGCAAGATTGATGGTCAAAGAGATGCACAGCATGATCATCACATGTAAACCAATGATAGTAATCACGATCACGAGCTCTGTGGATTGACTTTCCCCCACCTAGAAGACAAAGAACAGACTGAGATTCCTTACGGACCTCTTAACCTCTGGTCTTCACAGAGGACCATGTGACTGATGAGATGACATGTTGATTTATGTATTGGGAGGAGAAATATACAACACCCCGAGCAAAGACGATATCTAATTGGTCAAGGCACCATTTGGGATGTGTCCAAAAGCCCAGTTTAAATACTCAGGACACCATCAAATCATTGCTTTTAGCGTCTAGCTTCTTAGCTTTTAGCTTCTAGCCACTGCTTCAAGTCATCACTTTTAGCCATGCGGCTTTTTAGTCATAGCTTTGAACTATGCTTTTTAGTCATCGCCTTTTCGCTCTTTAGCTTTTTGGTCATGGCTTTTAACCACTGCTTTTTAGCTTCTAGCCTTTTTGCCACCACGTTTTAAGCTTTGCTTTTTAGCGCTCTTTGAGCGTGCTCTGGCTTACACGCCAGCTGCTTCTTTATGAGATCCAAGACAGGCTATAAACTTCAGGGCAGGCAGAAATCAGACAGGACGAGATAACAGGCTAGGATCAAGACACGGGAAAACAGACTATGAACAAGGCTAGACTCATGAACTTGGAAGGGCTCCGTAAAGTAGCTATCCCTAGGTGAGCGATAAATGCTGAACAATACTCGGCAGTGAGAGAGAGGAAGTCCATGGCTTATAAAGCGTGTCTCATTGGATGCAGCTGTGTGTGTGTAATTGGTAGCAGGTGAGCTTGTGATTAGTGCAATGGAGCATGGGAAATGTAGTCCAGGGTGATGTGTAACAGTCTGTGTGGTGTGAGAGTCAATATAATGGGAGGGCAACCTCTGGTGGCAAGCAGGCGGAAGTTCATGGACAGGATTCGTGACACACTGCATCATTCATAAATTTTATTTAATTATTGTGTTTATTGTCTTAACGTTTCATCAGTTTATTCTGCTTTTTATTCAGTTTAGCTGCAGATATAGCCAAGGCACGTCTTATGTTCTATGAGTGCGAGATCACTTCTCTTTCAGTGCGAAAACTTCTTTATCTCATTTTCATAAAATAAAATGCTATAGTATTTAACTTTTCCTCTCCCTCGGCGAATCATGATTCCGAAAGAAAACATGCCCGATGTCTGTTTGCTATAGCAACGAACGCTAGTTTCATGCATCTTGATTATCAGATAAACCTCACGCTATTATTTCAAGGTTGTTGTTAATGCTGTGGTTATTTTAACAGTTTCCTTCGTACATTCGGTTGAACGA